TATTTAATTTATTTATAATGCAAATACAATACAAATAAACCAATATTTAGATAATAATAATCATTTTGATCTGTATGGTAATATCTAACTGGGCCTCGTGTCACTTTATGTTCAATAAACTGGGCCTCGAGGTCAAAAAGGTTAAGATCCCTGATTTAAACTAAACCATATTTAAACATTAGCTCATACACACATATATGTCTGAAGTTAATATAGGCTACAGGTAACAATATAAGCATATTATTGGTCTGTTTGTGTTCAAAGTGATCTGATTGGCTGTGAAGAACAAGTGTACAACCTGTGCTCATCGCGTAGGAATGACGTTAATGCACGAAGACGAATGATGTGGCAAAAATCAAAGGGCAAACAGAAAGTAGTCCCACCTTTACATTTATTAATTCATACKTAAATAAGAAAATCCAATGTTAGAGCTTTTATTATTCTTAACAACATATTAGTTATTGTGAGTTTTCAAYAAATATGAATAATGTCGGCCCTTTTTTTCAAGAAGTGTGAGCACATATCCATCCGCCTTCTTCTGCTCTCWTCTATTTCCGGGATGTTTTCCTGACCAGCCTCCGCCGCCATTGCAGGTCCAGGGAGTCGGCACAGAGGCAGTCGGTGATTATCCCGGGGAGCAGCTCGACTGAACGGAGCAGGAAGGAAGGAGAAGTCYCGTCACACCGGCACCATATTGTGGACCAGGCTCAGGTTTAACTGACAGGTGGAGTTTAGCTCAGAGAGTCCGTGGCTGTTCGGTTAGCAGCCGCAGTTTGTGTTAGCCTTGAAGACACCAGAGAGGAACCGTCATGGCTCAGATCCTGCCCATCCGCTTTCAGGAGCACCTGCAGGTATGTACACTAACGAACTGTGAAGTTGTGTGGTGAAGTTTATTTGTCTGTCACAATCACCTGTGTGTTGTAGTTTCTGAGACTTCCCTCACAGCTATGCTAGGAGGTTAGCTTTTCTAGCTATGCTAACTAGCTTGACTGGGTGGGTGACGTTGTAGCTAGCCTTACCGGCTAACAGTTTGAGKAGCAACCTTCGCTTTTTAATATGTGGATGAATACTACAGACTACTTATTTAGATAAATAAATCATTGTTATAAACTTTTAAGCGCAGACCGCAGTGTTAGCGGCTAAAAGAGGACATGCTAATACAGCTAGCTTCTAATTTCCGCTGTCAGGACTCAGGTGGGTTAATGTCAGACTTATAAATATTAAAGTTATTAACATTTAGAGTATAACGAGTCGGCTTTTGTAATGTGTACATATAAAACCTGACAGGTTTCTTTATAAATGGAYCTTTTGTCTGAAGTTATTAGTATTCACACTGTGTACTGTTTGAAACACGTCAGGAGTCACGTTGATTGGTTAAAAGATCAGGTGTTCATCAGGTAATTAAACACTGCCCAGGTGTGCTGAGGCAGATGCTCTCACTAACAACAGTGTCTTTTTAAAAAACTAATGTTAAGATTTAGACACACTGTTGTATAAAGTACCACAAAGTCATACTTGAGTACAAGTATCTTACCAAAAAATTACTTTGGTAAAAGTGAAAGTCTCCTTTAGGAATACTGAGTAAAAGTCTTAAAGTATGTGATATTTGTTGTAGTTAAGTAGTAAAAGTCTTAAAGTATGTGATATTTGTTGTAGTTAAGTATTAAAAGTGAAAGTATAGATTTAAAATGAGCAGTTAGATTTTCTGTAAGGACATTTAAGAGGTGACCAAAAAAACTCAAAATAACTTTATTTATGTATTTATTTATTTAATGAAATACAAATACTTCTTTACTGTACTTAAGTAGAATTTTTGTGTATCTGTACTTGAGTAATTATTTTTGTCTACTTTTTACTTCTTACATTTTTAAAAAAGACAAGAAGTATAAAGTTGTTACTTTTATTTAATTTCTGCTTGTTTTCATT